AGGACATTTTAAGGTTGGACCGGGACACCGGGACAAATAGTCTAAAACCGGGACATGTCCGGGAAAACCGGGACGTCTAGCAGCGCTACACTTATAGTCATTTATTGAACAATAACAAAATAGTGGTGTATTATGCTATGGAAAGAAAAAGAGGAGTTTTTGCTGTTCAATAAATGACTATAAGTGACCTTAGGGTCAAGTTGCGGGTATGGTATTTTTAGGAACTGTAGTCGAAAGTTCAACCCTTAATTTGAGCCTAAGTATAGGGCTCTATCACATTTTGTTAAATTGCGGTGGGTACTTAAACTTCGCACAAAATCAGGTTTTGCTGTTCAGTAAATGACTACAAGTGACCATCAAGTCAAGGTGCAGGGATGGTATTTTCAGGGATACACCCAGAAAAAGGTTTTGTTATAATAACCATGATTTGATTATAGTGATCAAATGGCATAGTTGGATATGGCGAAATAAATATATAGTTCACGAAAGTCTGCAATTTACTTAAGACTTCTAGTTGGGACAAATGTATATTTGTTAATAATTACTTGATTGGACAACATTGTTAGTTGAATAAAATCATTGTTGAGCAAATATAAATAATGCTTTGGTTGATACAAGTTTTCAATTAATTTTGTGAACTTGCTATAGACTTGAATCAGCTAGCCGTTTAGTATTGGAAAAAAGTTTCAGTTTGACACAAATAAAAATTTACTCGATGTTTGTTGTGTTTACTTTCTTCTTTTATTGGCATATATTAAGCATAAAAATACGTACATATTTACATAAGTTAGTTACTAAAGTAAATACAGTGAAACCTCTCCTAACGGACACCTCTATTAGACGGACACCTCCCTTGGGCGGACATTTTTTCCTATACCAAGTTTTAAGTATAAATTTCGGAACAAATTACTCTCTCTTAAGCGGACACGAACTCCTCATAGGCGGACTACTAAATGGAAAAAGGGGACTTCCCACACAAAATGTGATTGTTATGCACACATTTAGTTTGGTTTGCGCAGTGGTTTAGGTTCGTTATTTGAATTGTCAGAAACCCTTGGAGACTGATAAAAACATGAAAGCTATTGATGGAAAAGGTACTGGCACTGAAAAAAGTTAAAAATAAAACTTACGTCAATCGACAATTTCCCTGTTTTTTATGTAATGAATCTATGATTTTATGTAGTTTATGGACTAAAATGTAATATTTATTTTTATTTTGTTATTACTTAATATGTACTTACGCGCATAAATGAAATGTGCACTTTTGAAAAAATACATGCACATTTTTGTTTGAACGATGTAATATCAATATCTTTTATTCAAATAAGAAATAGTGACTATTCAATTAATTAAAACATTAAAAAGTTCTAAAACCTCTCTTGGGCGGACAAAAAATGACTGACGGTGAGTGTCCGCCCAAGGGAGGTTTCACTGTAATACATATGTATATGGTAATAAGAATTTCCTAAAAAACAACGATGAAGCAGGAACAGTCGTGCGAAACCCCAGGTCAATATCTGCTGGAAGTATACTGCTTTGTTTTTTCCTTGGCTAAATAGACACTTTCAAATTATAATTCACATGAAGTTTATATCCTCTGAAAAACCCCGGTTGGCATCAAACTTTATATTTTTAAATAACTATGCGCGCACCGAAACAACTCGCGGTGATAGCAAAACTGAAACTGAGACAAACAAGTCTGGGCATGTTATAGCACACACTTTTCTTTCTCTGCCTAGCACATCGATCGACATGCCATAGCTTACTGAGTCCTCTGGGATCACATGCGTGTTTCTCCCATATAGGGTTGGCAGATTTTTTATGCGCGAATCAGTACATCAGACTTTTTCATGCTAAAAAAATCAGTACTTTTCAGTACATTTTTATTCAAAGCAAAATTATGAATGTAAGTAACAGATAATACTTTAAATCGCCAGAGAACTAGTTTTAAAGAATAATTTGGTATACGAATAAAATATAGTTCATCAAAAATAAAAGTGTTCTTCATTTTAGCATGAGTGTACACGTCATTGTCACAGAAGCCAATAAATTATTTTATACTAGCAGACCCGGCGAACTTTTTCCCGCCCAAAATTAATTAAAGGCACCCTATAAAATAGCCGCAGAGTTCTCTAAGAGTATGAGATTGATTTCATATATCTCCATATCATGTTCGAGTACTCTACCATGAACACTTCCAGAGATATGCAGTATGAAAAATTCGGATTGTATGGGAGGGGCCACGCCCCTTGCACCTAGCACAAAAAATTTCATAAAGATCGGTCAAGCCATTTAGAAGGAGTTCGACCACTAACACCGCGACACGAGATTTTTATATATTAGATTTTTGACATTTTTGAATACTTAGCAATAATGAGATCATTCGAATCTTCAGTGTTTACATAGTCAAAGAATTCTATACATTTCATTTTAAAATTAATTTTAATTTGAAGCTCACTTTAAACTATTTTTATTAGAAGCCGATTTCACTCTTTGCGTCAGGAAATAACTATATACTTAAGATCCTCTCAGTTGCTTCGTTTGAGTGTGGTATTGAAAAATAAACTAAATTACATATTTTTTGAAAATGTGGAAAAGTACCACTATTTAAGAACTTCATCTATATTTCCTCATGGCTTAAATTAACTTTTGCAACTACGCAAAAACTTTGAAAGACTAAGAATTCGCTGAAAAGAGTATCTAACTTTAGGTGCAATCCCGTATTCCTCGGACTCGGACTAGTAAAACTGTCAAAAAATAAAAATTCGCTCAGAGCGAGAGAGTAACATCGAAAAGTACGGGATCGCTTTCTAGTAAAAAATGGTAACTTCTGTCAACTTCAACATAACCTCCAAATTTTGGTTGCAAATTTTTGCTTATTTTGTATGTAAACACACTCAGCTCACACATGCAAATAACCAAAAATACTTTCAAATTCATTAGAATTTACTTAAACAAGTACATAATTAAATACTTTTCATCATGAATTAGCAGAGTGCACTTTTTTCTTGTTTACAATTTGGTTGCCAAACACACTACAGCTGATCGTTTGACACATTTACCAGAATTTACCAGCAAAAAATTCTCGGACTAAAACTGGTAACTTCTGACAGAGAGAGAACCGTATTTACTCTCTTTTTTGTCCTCTCAATAGTCAGAGAACCGAGTACGGGATCGATTTCCACTTTTATGTCTCATATGCAAAACTCTTTTACAATGTCAGTAAATTGTGAAAAAAGAATTGTAAGTTATAGGCAAAAGCCATTCGAATATTCAAATTTCTTGTTATTAAACTGAAAGTTATTTTCGAGATAATTAGCAACACTCGACAAAAAAAGTCAGCCTTCTTTTTTAATAACTTAAGGTAGTATAAAATATATCAAAGAAGTACATTTGACTGTACTGCAAAGTGCGAAGTACAACGGCTCAAAGAGAAGTACTGTACTTCCGAAAGCAGTACGGTTGGCCACATTAGTTATAACTCCTCCAGTTAAGTAGTAAGAAATTTAGTACTATTTTTATTCATCATAAACACTGTTGACTTTGTCTTTATTTAATAATAAAGATAGAGGCCAAACCACATATTTGAATAATCAATTGTATGGAAGCTATTTGTTAAAGTGAGCCTGTTTCGATGATTTTCAGAATTAGGGCGTATCTATTCATGTATATAAAGATAGATGTTGGTTAAGGCATCTAAATGTTTCCTAGGTAGGTATGTTAGTTAGGGTTTATTTACTGAGATCGGAATATGCAATGTATTTTGGGCCTTTTTTAAAAATATTAAAAACTAACATATGTCTGGCTTGCTTCGCGACGCCTTATAAGAACTTTTGCGTTGACCAATACTAAAATAGTGTTGCTATACAAAAACGATTGTAATCATAGGCCAAGAATAATAGGGCTGAGATAACATTTGGGTTAAGTACTAATATCCTTCGATGTAATGAGCTTTTATTTCGACCTGTGAGATATCTGCAAATATTTCAAGGTTTGCCGAGAGTGTGTAATCTTCTCCTATAATCCTGCTGTTCCACAGGATGAAAGAGTTTTCCCATTCAAACGGGGCCATTGATATTTCTACCGCGTTCTCTCTAATTCAGCACACTTCTTCTTGATATACCCATAACCCGTTGATGTGCTTAGGATACCTGTGGATCTTAATCAATTTCGCACTTCTCTGTATGCTAACTAATACAGGGCGGCGCCGAATGAGCTATATGGTTTAAATCGTTTATAACTTTTTTATTTATGCGATTATTATAATATTTTCTTTTTAAATACAGTATATTATTTGGGATTTTTTTGCAATTAGCTTGGAAAAGTTATATCCTGTAAGTGATGTCCATTTTCTGCTTCGCACATACGTGCTCTTTTTAGCATATTTTCCATAACTTTTCGCAGAATTTCGGGTGTAATGGCCATGATTTCATTTCGAATGTTGGTTTGGAGTTGGTGAATGGTTCTTGGTTTGTTAAGTCACGCTCTTTCTTTCAAATATCCCCAAAGAAAACTGTTAAAAAGAATTCAAACTATATAGCTCATTCGACGCCACCCAGTATTATAACCAAAAACGTGATGTTTTTTTGACCCCTCTGCGCTGGACCGAAGACATTTGAATCCGGTATTTTTTGACTTTCAATGCGTCAGCCCATATTTCTGCCCCGTACAGGAGCACCGATTGGACCGCTGTCATCAGAAGCTTCCTGCGGCATGGCTTCGGGCCGCCCACGTTCGCCATCAGCCGGCTTAGAGCCGCCGTGCTCTGCGCAGCTTTTTCACA